ACTCAAACACAGGCTCAGGCTTTACCGAGGCACCGTCATTCGAACGATGACATACCGCGCGGAAGCGTGGGCCTTGACATAGCCACTCCGACAACAGCTACGCCGCACTCAACGACGGATGGTTCGGGCGATCATCGGAACTCAGAAGGCGCACAGACGTCACCTTGCGAACGCACGCCGCACCAACAGCAGACAGCCACAGCAACCACGTCGCAGACAGCGTCCACCCTGACGACTCCAGCGACCACGACACATCCTGCACCCCCCCCCTCCCCATCAGAACAGACCAGCTCACAAGAAGACAACAATGACGCACGCCAGACCCACGAGCAGACGACAGACGAAGACGAGCTGTGGTCGGACTTCATCCGCCGGAGCACACGTAGGGCCGAGGAGCTCATGAGCAAGCACGGCATCCCCGACGTAGTACAGATACATCGCGCAAAAGTCTGGCGTTGGGCCGCACTCGTTTCAAGCCATCCGCAGAGCCGATGAACATACCGTGTGTTGAATTGGATTTCCAGCCTCGACTCAAAACAGCAAGGCCACCGGCAGCACGGAGGCCAACAGAAAAGATGGGACGACGACGTGAGCAAGTTTTTTGGCAAGTTTGCACGCGAACACCAGGGACGAAGCAACGGACATCGACACCAACGACGCCATCCATCCACGACAATACCTCCACTGCGACAGTAACGACGTGAGATGGTTGACAGCCGCGACAGGCACCACATGGTGAGACTCTCTTGAGAGCGCTTTCATTGCATACAACAGCTGAGGGCGCAAACTCCCCGACGCCAGTTGCACCAATAACTTCTCCTGACCTCCGGCGCCGACGCCAAATGACCACCACCACCACCAGCACAACAACACCGAATATACAGGAGCACCGACTACACCACCGATGGTGATGATATATGCCGTGGATGGGGCAGTTCTGGTGCCAAAACGGTGATGGTAAAACGGTGATGGTGATGGTAACCGCTCTGGCCGACACAGACACAGAACCATTGGAATCCCTAAATGAGACTTCTGCCCCTGACGATTCCAATCCACCGAAAAACATCGACATTAACACAGCGACGCCGACAGCGAGACCGACGGCAACACCAACAGCAACGCAGCAGCGACACCGGCATACAGCACCGACTACCGATGACCATCAACAGGAGCAGCCACGACACCGACCACGCCGACTCGATCCTGACCAGGATCATGGACATCCTGCATCCTCTGTCACGCCTTCTGCTTCTCCCGGCTCGCACGCATGTCGTTCCTTGCCTGGTTCGCGCACTGGTTCTTGAGGAACTTCGCCCACGACGCCTAATCGGACACGATCTGAGGCCACGGCCTCTTGCGCCCTGCCCAACAAGGGCACGGGCACACCTGCGTGCCCGACTCTGGCGCCCTCGCCTCGCCTCGCCTCGCCTGGCCTTCTCCCCCGTCCTGCATCTGGTAGCGGCGGTGGCGGAGCAGGACCACTTCGGGCGCAGGGTTCGGGCAGGGGCTCTGGCCCCCAGGCGGGCGGAGGGAGGGAGGGCGGGAGGGAGGAGGGAGGGAGGGAGGGCGGAGGGAGGAGGGAGGGAGGGGGAGGAGGGGGGAGGGAGGGAGGAAGAGGGAGGAGGGGGGAGGGAGGAGGGAGGAGGCCGGGCCCCGCGCGCTCCTGTCACCCACCGCTTTCGGGCGGGTGGCAGGGCTCTTTTCGGTTCCTCCGATTCGAGTCGAGTCGACTGCGGTGGCTTCCGACTTCGGTTCGATTCGGCCTGGGATTCCGATGTGGGTTCCGGTGCCACGTTGTGCTATTGTATGCTGTGGTCTGCCACGGACTGATATGCGACGGTATTCTCTGGGATGGTATCTTTGGTCCGTTCAGTTGTGAGATGGTGTGCGGTGTGGTGGTCGGTTATTTTCTGTATGTTCCGTTCTGTCATAGCGCATGCCAGTTTGCGATGTTATGCCTTGCAACTTTATCAGTTGGCACGCCGTGATTTGGCACACTAAGATGTGTCCCGATATGGCATCCTTGCGTGAATGATGATATGTGTTGGTGTGTGATGGTGTGCCATGGTACGCCATGTTGTGATATGGTCCGACATGGGGCTGATCGTAGTACCTGGTCCGCGTGATCCGCTCTGTCATAGCACGTGCTGCAATGTGATAAAGTGTGGTGATCTGTTATGTCCATGAATGTTTTGTGGTCGCATGCTATGGTATGATATGTTATGTTATTGTATGAATTGGCATGATATGTTGGGATGCGTATGCATTGTAATGGTTTGTGTTGCGATGCATTGCCATGGTATGCCCAATTTTCCCGTGGTGTAATATGCTATTGGGCGGTATGCCAAAGTATGGTTCGCGATGATGTATTATATCATGTAATGCGTGGTGATATGATATGTAATGTACGAACATGTCTGTCATAGCGTATGGTGTTATGGTATGTAATGCGCTGTTGGTTCATGAGTTGCGGCGGTGCGCTGTGTCATGTTCTGACTTGTCATGGTATGCAAGATTGCGTGTTGCGACGCTGTGCCATGTTATCATGTGATTCGTGCCCGTCGAAAATTCGAAGCGGGCCCTTCGGGGATATCCAGTGGACCTGGGGATCCGGCGGCCGCGGTATGCAGAGTGGACGGGTTGGTGCGAGGCGCGGAATTCGCGGGATATTCGGTGGACATGGGGATCTGGCGGCCGCGGTATGCAGAGTGGTGTTCATAAAATCTAGAGCGAGGCGGGAGACTCATTGGACGGTCGGTGGACTTGGAGATTTGGCGGCAGCGGTATTAAAAAGGTGGCGTGTCGAGACGCCCGTTCTCAAATCCAAGAACCCCAATTTGTCCTCAAGGCACCTTCGAAATTAATTTATTGATAAACGCTGAAACTAATTCGCTAAACACGCGAAACAAGCTATTGCCAGTTTGTTGTGCTTGGCTTTCTTGTGTTGAGACCTAATGGTGCTTACGCAAACTAGTTCCAAGACGCCGAGTTAAAATCTGGAAACAGCAGAAAACGCCCAGCACATATTCAGGACGAACGAAGCGAATGAGCCGCCTTCAATCCATGTAGCCCTTTTGCACATGTGTCCTTCGGGCCATCCCGTGTAGCTGGCTGCGCATGTTTGAATCATCAAGTAATCACATCAGAACCGTGTCAACTGGCAGCCCCATGTTAAAAAGGAGCCATCCTCAATCCGTGCAACGGCTGGGTTTGTTATGACGACTGTGCGCAGTGGTGCCAAGGCGAGAGCCCAATATATTGAAGAGGGTCCGATCTCCATTCGTGCAACTGTAGGCCGCAGATTGGAAGTTCCTTTGGATTTTTAGATCGGAGTTGCAGGACCCATGCCGCATTCAGGAGCCGTGCTGCCAGGAGAAATGGAGTACATGAAACGCCCTTGACGTTGAAGTCTTGGAGGTGCGACATGCGAGCCCGCAGCGCCGACTACGGACACGCAGTCAGCATAAGCAAGCAGCATTGCAGGTGAGCGGCGTAGAACGACGGAATCGCTTGCGCGGGCATCATCGCGTATGCTGCCGCGTAAGGCGCCGCGTACTCGCCCCCGTTTCGCAGCGCGCGTGCGCGCACCGCGCTGGCGGCGGGCGTACGCGTCCGCGTGAGGTCGCTGCCCTCGTCGTGCGTGCCCGGACTCCCGACGGAGAGTGTTCTGTCAATCTGCAGGCCAGAGCAGTCTCGACCCCAACCCTGGGGGCAAGTCTCCATGCTGGGCCCAGTCTTGATCGCCCCGGGGCCCCAACCTGAAGAGGTCACCCCGCCCCAAAAAAATCCAGTCCATACCGTGTTCTCTTCGTCGTCGCCCAGGTCGCAAATTCGCAACCGCAAGCGGGAGGCCTGCCGAGGGACTAATTCATGCGCCAGGCGCGCTTGCGCGGTGGGTTGTCGGCTGACGAGGCATCGTCTCACCTGCGCGAGCGCGCCCGCTCCTGGGGTCCCTGGTGCTGGATCGCGTCCCCTCCACGCCGGTCCAGGCCAGGCCACCCAACCCCTTCCTCTGCACTCTCCACCGAGGAGGAGGAGGAGGAGGAGGAGGAGGAGGACGAGGACGAGGACGAGGAGGAGGACGAGGAGGAGGAGGACGAGGAGGAGGAGGAGGACGAGGAGGAGGGAGGAGGAGGAGAGGAGAGGAGGACGAGGAGGAGGAGGGAGGAGGACGAGGAGGAGGAGAGGAGGAGGACGAGGAGGAGGAGGAGGAGGAGGAGGAGGAGGAGGAGTGCCACGCCACTCCCTCCATCGGCGGCACGCTAGGGGGGGGGGAAGCGAGAGGGCGCAGGCCTGCTCGGAGGGCGGCGCGGCTCCTCCGGGAGCCCTCTCCGACCCCGTCGGCGCAGCTCTATCCAGGCAGCCTCTCGGCAGGGTCGGAGGCCTCCTCGGCCTTCGGAGAGGGCCCGCCCCGCCAGCCTCCCCCCCCTGGGCGTGCCGCGGACTGAAGCAAGATCGAGGCTCGGGGGTCGGGAATCGAGGTGCTGATGCGCGTGTTGCCTTCAGCGGGCCTCGGAATTCGCCCCCCCCCCCCCCCCGGGGAGGGCCAGGAGGCTTCCAGGGACCACCGGAAGCCTCAGGGGACCTTGGGGGGCCCCCGAGAGATCTTCGGAGGCCCTTGGTGTCGAGGCCGCCTCAACAGGCTGGAGTGGATGGGGTCGGAGGATCGCGCCGCATCGCCGATGCATCACGTCTGGAGGCCGAATTTCTCCGTCACGGCGCCGACGACACATCGGAGATGCATCGGCGCAGCGCTGCGATCCTCCGACACCCCATCTGCTCGACCACCTCTGGGCGGCCTCCAACCGACCCCTTCCCCAGACAAAGCCCTGGGGCCCTGAGTTGACCACCATGGCTAAAAATGGTGAAGGACCCGCCTCCTTGACTTTGTCGAGCCGCCAGAGGTCGGGGCCGCCTAACCACTTGATCGCTGGATGTCTTAGCGCCTTGTGCCAGGCTGTACAGGCGAGGCCGAGGTGCGTCTCCGAGCGAATGATTTGTTAGGCAGCATGGCATGGTGCCACCGACAAGTGCAGCGACGCACTCGCTTAGGAGAAGAGAGGTAGAGGAGCGTATAGGGACAGCGTATGTGATGGAGGAGGAGAAGAAGGAGGAGGAGGAGGAGGAGGCGGATCGGGAAGATAGGAAGAGGATATGAAGGCGTACGCAACTTGAGGATGGGGACTCATCACGAACAGCAGGAAGAGGAAGAGGGCAGAGACGCAGGAGGAGGTCGAGAAACAGGAGGTGGAGGAGGAGAAGGTGGAGGAGGACGCGGGCGGTACACTGGGCTGGCATTTCTGGCGCCCGACGGTTCCTCCGACCTCGGGGAAGGTGAAACAGAAAGAGGAAACGATCGGCGCATCATGTCCTTGTTGGTGGTTCTGCTGGCGGTGGTGGTGCTGCTGCCGGCTCTCGTCCTGCCAGATCTCTGCGGTGCCAGGGGTGGCTCCCCATCCCCGCTTCGAGATCCTCCTGGGCCCTCCGCGCGGCGGCGGACCCCGGCGTCGTCCCCCTCTGCCCGCGGAGCGGAGGCGGCTGCAGCGTCGTCGGACAGGGTCCAGAATGCTCTGGCCTCCTCAACTTTGGCGTCGAGTGCTTTTTTATTATTCTCCTCGTGTCCCTGGAGCGAAAGGACGTACACGTACATGAATCCACGCTGGTTCCGAGAGTACGCATTGCGCAAATGTTCGTATGACGCGGCCGGCCTCGCAGATCGAGGGGCCGTGCTCATGTACATAGCTGGGCGCGCACTTCCTTTGTGGGCTCCCTACGTGTCCCTGGAGCCAGGGAATCGGACGCCGGATCGGCCCGGCACCTAGCACCTCCTCTCCTGCCTCGCGAGCCACGGCACAGACCTTCGTCCACGTCGGTGGAGATCGGCGCTGCCGCCCTCGAGCAGTTGCGTGCTTCTCGCCGCAAGTCGCTCCCGCAGGTGCTTTGCGGAGTCACTGTGCTCGGGTACTCCAGATTTCGCCATAAAAGGGAGGGGGTCACAACCCTCACAGACGGGCAATTCCAGACCCCCCCAAACAAGCCATGAAGGGCGGCTTTTTGCCCAGACCCACTGGAACCCTCCAAGACAGCTCAAATCTGACCCCCTCCCAAATCAGACCACCCCCCTTTTATTGTGAAATCTGGAGTAGTTCGTGGCGCCGCTTCCCACGCCCGATTTCTTCGTCGCCCTCCCTCTCTTCTTCCGCCGCGCTCCGCCGAGCCGAAGTCCGACCTCCACGGGTGGGTGGTCTGCATATGCCGCCCGGGCAGTAGCCCCCCGTCTCCTCTGACCCCTTGGGAGCCGCCGCCGCCGCCGCCGCGCCCCTCGGGAGCAACCCCCCGCGCTTGCCCTCCAGAGTGGAGAGCCCAACGCGCGTGGACGTGCCGCCGGTGCCGAGAGCGAGGGAAGACGCGATCCAACTGGTGACCCGCGCGACAACGGGGGCGCCACCGGGTGCACGCCGCGCGCTGCGAGCACGCGGGCGAAGAGCCCGTCATCCCCACAGCACTCCAGCAGCTCTCGTCCACTGTCCGATCGGTGGGGGGCCCCGTGGGCCCCTAGGACGTTCATTTCCTCCGGGTCCCCACACGGACCGAGCTCAGCATTCAAATCTCCGCCCTTCAGCCACGCGTTGTCGGCGCTTCTGCGGCGCTCTTCCACGTGGGAAATGTCCTTGTACAAGCCATCGCGGGCCCCCGCGTATCGCGTGCCAGAACAGGGGGCGTAGCAGGCCACGAGGGAAAAGCCTCGATGCGCACCCCGTGTGGGGATCATGATGGCCGCACACCGTGTCCCCTTCCTGTCCTCCCCCCCTTTGCATGGGTGAGTCGTTCGTTCAAGGCAGTGTCAATCTTGCCTGTGATGACAACTGTCCAAACTTCACCGTCTTTCTCATTTTCTCTCACTCCGTTTCTGGGAAACCAGTATCCGACAGCAAGCAGAAGTCCCAGCGTTTGGCATTCATTAGAGAAAACAAACAGACACTCCGTTTTCAATTCTTGCTGCTCTCCGCCGAGGGCCGTCCGTCGCCTCGTGTTCCAGGTGCCACCCCAGAGGTAGCTGACTTTGCCGTGGCTTGCGCCACGACGCCGTTGGGAGGCCCTGCGGAGCAGGGACAATCTGCGCATTGCCATCGCACGCTTCTGCTTATGCCTTAGGTTCCGTGTTGTCTTCCTGCGCGGTCCTCCTCGAGCGTCTCGCTCTGTGCTTCTGTGCGCGTGCATCCGACTGCTCAGGGTCCCTGGGATAGGGCACCTCCCCAGGGCCAAGGCGTGGCCGGCCTGCTCCCCAGAAGCCGAGAGGGAAAGAGCCGAAGCCCCAACCGCCTTCTCCGGCATCGGATCCGAGGAGGTGCGAGCATCCCCGCCCCCGCGCCAGACCGAAGAGGACCGAGAAGGAGGATCGGGCCGGGCGAAAGGGGGGGATTGGGAAAGGGGGGGTACGAAATTTGCTGAATGCAGCTGGTTTCGGCCTCACCGAGGGGCCCATTCCTCGATACATAGCCGCCTCCGGCGCCGGGAGGCGCCTGGAAAATCAGCTACGTGAGCTGATTCTCAAACCCCCCCTTTGCTATCCCCCCCTTTCGCCCGACCCGAGAGGACTCCGAGGAAACCGATCCGACGCCCCTTGCAAACAAGACCCGAGCCCCCCCCTCCACCGCAGACTCGCAGGGGACGCCCTGCGGCGGAGGGCGTGGGCTGGCCGCGCCTACCGGCTCAACTCTTGCGCAAGGCTTGCAAGGCAGCTACTCATGGACAGCCTGGGTATCCAGGAAAACATGAAATTGCATGAAGCATGTCAGAACAGCACGTGCTGCGAAATAAATGAGAAATATGTCTCCGCTGCAGAATGACGCAGAAACCGTTCGCTGGATCAGCGCAGCGGCAGGGGGCACGCGCGAAACGCAACTGCGCGCGCTCCCCCAGGGGCGATCCCCCCGGACAGCTCGAACGCCTCGTGTGCGAGTCGACGACGCAACCCCGCCGAATCTGCACATTTCCGACGCCGCATTTGCGACGGCAGCGGCGGCGGCGACACGGCGGAAGGCAGACGAGGAGGCAGAAGCAGCAGCGCAGCCACTGACAGGAACGACGGCGCCAGGACAACGACGACGGGGCCGATGAAACCCGCGCGCGAGGAGAAGGAGAGGGGGCAGGCGCGCGACATCGCCTGGAGAATAACACTGGGCGAAGAGGGGGCGCAGAGGACGAAAAGGGGGGCGACTAGAACTTGAATGGGGGCGGCGGCTAGAACAGCCTCGATGGTGCCGCTGAGAACGGGCCCTTGGGACGAGGGGGACAGGGTGACGAGGTAGGGAAAAGACAGTGGAGGCGGGCCCGGGCCGCGCGAAGCTACAGGCCGACTCGCCACTGCAAAGGGCCACGGGTCACCCAACATTCCTGCGATCCAAACTCTCATATGGCTACTGTACCATCATCGCGCGAATGCCGATGGCAAAACGTCCTGCGTGCCGCCACCGATGACGTGGACCTCCCTGTTCCTCGCCCCTTCTCCCCACCTCCCTCCCTCCCAGACCCCCCCCCTCCGATCGCGCCCCCCCCTTCCCCATCGCGCGCTCTTCATCCTGCCCACCGCCCTCTCAAATTAACCCCCTTGCCCCCCCTGGCCGTCTGCGGCGCGACCCCCCGCGGCGACCCCATTCCGCGGCGCCGCTCGCATCCAGCCCAGCCCGCGCCGATCGCGCCAGCGCCACGGGCAGCACATTCGAGTGCCCCCACAATTGTTGCTAGATGGCCACCGCGACCCAGGGCGGCGAAAGATACCCCCCAGGCTCCGCACCAGACGCCGGCACAGTCGCCGCGGGGCCTCGATCGGCGCGGCCCCCAGGCGGCCGCGATTTGCCTAGGTGCGTGCGAGGTCCCCAATCGAAATACACAAAAAAAAATAGACCCCGCATTCGCAATCCCCGGGGAATTCGGTGCGCCCATTTGAAATAAGTCAAAGCGGCCGAAATAGGCGAGACGCCCACCGACTCCGCGCGCGCACTTTTCGAATATGCCTTCGTCTAGGTCTTGCATTTTTTATTTCAAAAATGCGCCATACATATATATATATATATATATATATATATGTATATATAAATAGGCGGCCGGGGAGGTGCCTATTTTTCACAAAAATGTTTAAGTCACGCGCGAAAAATAGGCCCGCCCCAATCGGTGAAAATGCAAGAAAAATGAGTGCGACATGACCTGTTCCCCGGGGCAGCCGGCGGGGGCGGGGTGGAATAGCGCGCGACGCCCCCGGGAGGCCCGCGACGGAAGAAACATGAGTGCGACATGACCTGTTCCCCGGGGCAGCCGGCGGGGGCGGGGTGGAATAGCGCGCGACGCCCCCGGGAGGCCCGCGACGGAATGCGGCTGCCCCTTGGGGATTGGGATGAGAGCCCGGCCGCCTGCCGGCGCCAGGCGGGTGGGAGGGCGGGCGGGGGCGCAGCACTGGGCGAGGGGCGCAGCCGCGCGGCTCAACAGACGACGTCTGCGCCGCGCCACCTCCCGCGGCAACACACTCAAGAAAGCTTCGCCGACATGGGGCGGTGCCCCAAGGGCAACGACCCTACGAAAAAATGCCATGGCCCCGAAAGGGGGCCCCAGCCGTCGCCCTGATGGGTGCCCACCGAAGCCCCCAACGGCGGCGGCCGCGCGCGGTGCTCGCAGGCCCCTCGAGCATTTGCCCAACCGGAAGCCGCAGTGGCAGAGGCTGCGCGCCCTGCTTGCACACCCTCGCACGCTTCGTGGCCCCACAGGCGACCCCGTCGAGGCCTCGGTAGCAGCGGCCGCGCGCGGCACTCGCTCCCCCCAGGCTCCATCAAAGGCCCCAGCGGCATCAGCCGCGCGCGGCACTTGCGCGCCCCTCGCGCGCTCGCTGGCCCGAACAAGGAAACCCGCCAGAGGTCCCAGCGTCAGCGGCCGCGCGCGCACTTGGGCACCGCTCGCGCGCGTCATGGCCCCATGGGGGCCTCCACTGACGGCCCCGGAGGCGGCGGCTGCGCGCGGCACCTGCAGAACCCCCACGCAGTTCGCGGCTCCACGGGGGACCCCGCCGAAGGCCTTAGCGGCAGCTGCCGGGCGCGGCATAGTTTCGCGACTGTCACGCGCGTCGTGGCCCCGCAAGTTCTCCGTGGTTGCAGGCCTCCGGGGCCCCCTCCAGCGGGCCCTGGGACCGCCAGAAGACGACTCAGGGCGAACAGCCAGTTCCCGGAGGGTCCAAAATATCGCGACGGGCGGGGCCCGGCGCCCTCCGGCAGAAACGGACCCGAGATGAAAGGCCACACCTGAGGGAGAGGTCGAGGTCTTTTTCTCCCTCCTCTTCCTTCTCCTCCTCCTTCTCCTCCTCCTCCTCCTCCTCCTCCTTCTCCTCCTTCTCCTCCCCCTCCCTTCCTCCTCCTCCTCCTCCTCCTCCTCCTCCTCCTACTCCTCCTCCCTCCTCCTCCTTCTCCTCCTCCTCCTCCTCCTCCTCCTCCTCCTCCTCCTCCTCCTCCTCCTCCTCCCTCCTCCGCGCGCCCACCGCCCATGTCACGAACGATAATTGCGATGTCGGAGTACGTACAGGCTCCCAGAGCTCCTCTCCACGGGGCCCCGACCAGCTCCATTGGATTTTCCATCAGGGAGAAGGAGGGAGAAAAACAAGGAGGAGGAGGAGGAGGAATAATAAGAAGAAGAAAAAGAAGAAGGGCCTCGCGCTGCACGTCTGAAGTCACATGCCTGGTCGCACGTGCGCGCGCA